CCAACTTTTAATCTAATTATATTATTGATTCACTAGTATTTAACTTCTCGAGCTGTCTGTTTGATCTAGTTAGATTGTCGATCGCTCTTATATATTGAATATCGTATAAATTATTTATTAACTGAAATCCAATGACTGTTTGTGGCGAATAAGTTTCTTTATTGATACTATTAAAGATACTAGTTGTATTGTATTGTACGTTAATACATAATTGTAATGTTATCAAACATATATATATATATATATATATATATATATATATAGCACTTCTTGTATTGTAAGGATAATTTATTTTCATTTTCATCGACACTTATTAATTTAGCCGACGGAAAAACGTTTAATTACATATTAAATTATTTATAAAAACTCAAATTATATTTTTATTACTTTTTACATATTGGATACACTTGTAATAGTGAATAATTACAATAATGAAATGCAAATCTTAAACAATAAATAATGAGGAAATTTTTTTATACTTTTCATATTGCATTCCTTTCGTGAAAACTACATTTTTGGCAATTTTTTCTGCCTCATATTTCCTAGCTCGTGCGCTCTTTATTATGTATTCAGTTACAAAATGTAATATATCATTTTTTATTCTTAAAAATTTATTTGATACTTAAATATACAGGAGCTCGTCATATTTTTAAATTAAAACGCCCTTTTTATTTTATACAGTTTTTTGATTCAGCTCTACCTAAAACCAGTAGATACAACTAACATTTGAAATCTTTATTTGATATTATGCAATAAATCATATTTTAGCGCATGTACATGCTCTATTCTATTATGCAACAAGATTTTTATGACTGTGATTCTATCTATCCATTTCTGGACTTTGGCTTTTCCTTCGATAATTATGTTTTCAATGCGTCAACCGGATATAACATGACTAATCCAATCAATATAGGGCAAACACGTTAAAATATCACTACTATATTACATCGAAATTCGAAACAATAAATCTTTAATTATAATATATTTTTATAACAGTCAGAAATATGTTTTTTTTTTCTTTTGTGACTACCTATACCGATGAAGAATTATATTTGTGTTGATTTAAAAGACTTTAAGTATTGTAATGATTTCATAGATATTTCACTAAATCAATAGTTAAAAAACAAATGTTATCTAGTTAATTCAGTTCGTATATAAGTTAAGTTATGCTAACATTTTGAGAAATGGACGTAAATTCGTTGCAATTTTTTTTCTTTTTACTACTTAAGCGCAATTTCAGGCGACTTTTAAAAATGGCAAAATATTTTGCAAATAATTCTACTATTGAAAGAAAGTTACTCAATTAATTCATTAGATTCTTTATAATATTATAATTTAATTCATTGCCGTAATTCTATACAGTGAAATCGTAGAATTTTATGTAAAACTATAAGAGTTATATTCTAAAATAATATTTTACAGAAATACTGCGCTTTGAAAATCAAATGAATTTACTATAACGAATGCTTCCTTCGCTTATTCAATGGTAAAATTGTAATTTGAATTCCTAGCTCATACTATAATTTACTCAATTACTCCATGGTGCTGTCACAAATACACATCTTTTTAAATTACTTTCTCACATATTGTGAGGGATTTTTTGTACTTTCTTTTCGTATGGTGTGATGTAGCAGCATTGCATTGCCACGTTATGCTATCATCTTACTATTACACGACCGAGCTTATTGTTGCCGTACGATGCTATTAATACAATGGCTGTGGGATACATTGCTTTTGAGATAATCTTATAGTTAGTTGTTTTTTATGATCATTCGCTACTTGATTCATTTGATCTTATTAAACGTTCCTACATTATGTTTCATCGCCTCGATCTGTTACAAATTATCTATACTCTTTCATAAAATTACATATGTCACAATTTCGTTAACTTTCTCTTTTATTTTTTTTTTTTTTATACTTTCTGCACAAATTCGATCGTCTTGGATTTTGATGTACATCTATCCATGTACTTTAATACTTTAATACTGATTTTAATACAATGCAATTGACCAATATATTTAGTTTAACAATCCTTAACATGATGCATATAATTTGGAAAGTCTTCTGTAAAAGTACAATTTCTTGTTATTTAGCTATTTATCGTTACGTATATTCCATTAATTTTCTCCTCCGCACACTTTAGTATTATTTTGTTTAAATAAATCTTTATATACTTTTATACTCGTTTAATAGTGGTTTTTAACATTATTTCTATTCATGATTCAATGTTATAGTAAACAAAAAAAACGTAGCTATGAATATTTGCCAAGATAAATAACAGTAATATTATTAATATTTTTATATTAAAATCTTTTGAGTAATATAACTTTTATTTAATAAATGTATTTTTACAAATAGTTTTACTAAAAGATCAAAATGAACCAACCATCTTCTTAACCTCTATTTTAGAAAGCATTATACGCATAAACTGTAATGAAGTTTAACAAAAGCTTTAGTAATATAATTTTCCTCGTATCATTAATAACGTATGAAATGTGTATTTTTAAAGCGAAAAAATAGCTTATTATATTAACAATGAAAGAGACATTTATTTTTCAATTTTAAAAATTAATTCTATGCTCCTTTAGTAAAAATATTTTGCTTTTGAAATAACAGAATGATTTTTATTGTTTAAAGCATTATCACAATATAAACAATCGGGAAAAAAATATGAAAACTGTTAAACTAAAAAAAAAAAAATAATAATAATATAATTTCTTATACAGGCTGGCAGGCCTGTGTGTATTATTTAAATATGTGCATATACATTTATAAAATAATTGAATAAATTGACTGCTTTTACATACGAACGACGTAAGAATTTTATCGCATATATAATGGGTAATATAAGAATTTGTCATATAACAATTTGGGAAGAAAAATTCCATCAATGTAAATCGAAAGTATTGTTTTCCGAGGAATAGATTTTACGCTAAAAATTAATTTTGTTTTTCGTATAATATTATGCATTTAAAAACATTGGTATTTCCATAATGCGTACAATGATTGTCTACTGGCAGAAAAATAATATTCAAATTTTTTTTTTTTTTTTTTTTTTTTTTTTTTTTTTGTTTCTATAACGCTGAACGAAAATTGAACGCTCTTCACGATAAATCGTACGAATGGTTGGCGAGCAATTATACAATTAAACAAGCCATTGGGCTCCTGATGCGTACGAATTAATTGCTAATTCAAAGTGTGCGAAGCGATTTGATCGTTTTCCCAATCTTATTTACAATTCTCAGGGGTTAGGAGCAGTAGAGGAGGATATCCCCGCTATTTGCGGCTGGAGGGGGGAAGAGTCACCACCGACGGTCGAGTAGGTAGGGATATGTTGAGGATATAGATGGTGAGGGAGGCGGATGAGCGGATACGCATGCGCCGAACCTTGCCAAAGGCGGTGGTTCGAATCGACCCGTGAAAAATTGCGTAGCGCCGGGGTTGGGGAGGGTGAGAGGACACGTCGTTGTCCGTGGATAGCCGCGACTCGATCGTGAGGCGAAGATGTGTGGCTGAAGGGTCTCGTGCTGGAACGCTCAAAATCAGGAGCAATGTAGGAGAGGAGAAGGGAAGTAAGAGCCGCTAATAGAATTTTCTTTTCCCTTTATTGTCAAACTATTTTGCGAGGAGATTTGATACGCGCCCGTTAATGCACACTCACGGTAACTTTCGCACGCTTTATTACTGATAAACGTGCTGCAATGTGCAAGATCTTCGGTAATGTTCAGTTTTTTTTGCGCGAAGCTCACGTAAAGTAATGAACTAATCGGAGTATTTTCCGATATCGTCAGAATTAAAACGAAGGTGAAATAAACAAAGGTTAGAATTGATAGGAAGATTAAGAATTTGGAAGAAAAAGGACGGTCTTTAATGCTGAGCTAACTTCGTTGGCCATATAATAGGAAAAACAAAAAAAAACAAAAAAACAAAAAAAAAACAAACAAAAATTGAAAGTTGAACGAATGAAAGAAAGGGAAAAATGAACGCAAGAAATGGAGGTTGGAAATAAAAGCCAATTGGAGAAAAAATATAAACGCCGCAGCAAAGTAGAATAGATAGAAGGAAAATATGTATAAGCCGTTGTAAAAGTGAGAGAACGCTACGAATAAATAAAAAGAACGATGCGACTCGCTCCAGCTATAGTTTCCGGGGCGCATCTACGTAAAGAATTTATAGAAAGTAGGGTGCACAGCTAAAGCGATGGTAGGGAAAAAAAAAATCTGTTGAATTGTCAATACTTGATGACGAATATAGAGTAAAAACCGTTGGAATTGTAAGAAATTCAATCCGTAATTAGCGCAGCGACGCGGCCGCATCAAATCCAGAAAAACTTTTCATAAAGCAAAATGCATCTGTCGATAGGAAAAAACGGCAGTAAAAACGGCGCTTATCTAAGCGAATAAATATCGGAAAATAGCTAGATAATAAGACAAGAATGTAAATAATGAAGTAGGTGAGGATGATGGGTGTCGAGGTATGAGATGGAAACTCGATCGTTGGTAGATTGGAGCGAAGTAGCGAGGTGGTGGCAGCGACGATGATGATTATGACTACGACGACGACCAAGACGACGACGACGAAGACGACGACGACCAAGACGACGATGGATGATGGGTGTCGAGGTATGAGATGGAAACTCGATCGTTGGTAGATTGGAGCGAAGTAGCGAGGTGGTGGCAGCGACGATGATGATTATGACTACGACGACGACGAAGACGACGACGACGAAGACGACGACGACGACGACGACGACTACAACGACCACGACAACGACGACGACAACGACCACGACAACGACGACGACAATGACGACGATAATGGCAACGCGCGGGTTAATGTGAGTAGGGAGAAGGAGGAGGAGGAGGAGGAGGAAGAGCGAGGGGGCGTCGCGACGGCTTTGCGTCGGCTCAGCGGCGTCGTAGCCTCAGTCATCCGTACGATGCCGCGGCGGTGAAAAGCTCGCCGGGCTTGGACGCTTCGAGTCAAGCCAGTGACGCCGCGCACGTGCTCCCAAAACCTTCGGCGAGCGCTGTCAGCACCAACCGGTCCTCGTACTCCTTCCGCCCGGGCTCACTCGCATGAGGCTGCGATAACGAGAGGCAGCGCATGCCCGACGAAGGTGAGCTCACCAGTCCGACCACTCTCGACATTATTTCATTTCATAGCGCGTCAGGATTTGTGTGCGCGGGGGCTGCCGGTGAGCAGCCAACCGCTTGGTCACGCTGCTTTTCAATTGCGCCGAACAATTTACTCGGAACTTTAATAGCCGGCACGAGCTTGCGCCGCGAAAGCCGCGCTTTCGATGACTTTGGCTTTCCAGCCAACACTTCATTTTTTATTAGTTTCACGAATAAATTACGAAATCGCGTTATTCTTGCACTGCTTGTTCTTTTATCAGCCCTGCTCAGTGTTAGTAAAATTATTTTATTCGTTGCGTTCGTTCATACTCAACTGCAGAAGTAGAAAAAATGATAATCTGTACATTACAATGTTTATTTCTTCCAAAGTTTACAACTCGTCTCCAAATTAACAATTATGTCCGTACTGTCGTTTTTATTATTTAATCGTAAGAATTAATTTATTGTATTTTTACGAATTTAAACATTACACTGATTCAATTAAGAAGCGCAATTAAGATTCTATTGATAATTATTAGTTTTGATATAATAGGCAAAGTGAGGAAACTGAAAGCCGGATAAAAGTTCAATATATTAGGTATATTGTGTGTGATAATAGTTTTAGCAATCAATAAGTAAGCGAATCTTATTGCATATTATTATTATTATTATTATTATTATTATTATTATTATTATTATTATTATTATTATCATTATTATTGTTATTGTTATTGTTATTATTGTTATTATTATTATTATATGTACAGCTAATGTAATTGATAGAAAATGATTTTTTGTTACTACGGGGTTTATGCATAGAGTATTTACATATATTTTATTTTATTGACTAAACCGTAGAACTATGCTTCGTGTAGTTATTTTAGATAACATATTCGTTGATATAATTTATGGAAAATAAATTTACCAATAAAAATAATTTATAGGCAAGTAAAAAAAAAAAAAAAAATGAGCTTGACACATAGTATATTAGCTGGCATTTGAGTTATCTTTATTTGAATTCGTTACAATAAATACATGTAGATTGCATTTATGGATTTAATAAAACTGCTTAACTATGTCAGTGCGAAATTTGGTGAATATTTCATCAATATTTTTTTAACAGCTGTTTTGATTATGACACGTTTAAAAAAACATAACACGGTACAGTTAAAGACATGTCACTGCTGTTGTTGACAGATATTCAATATCTAGCACTTTCCAATCATCTCCCTATTCCATATTTCATGTTAAAGGCGCTTCTCATATTATCAAAGTAAGTGTTATACACGTACGCACACCAACATATACACGACCGAAGCATTGAGTTATAAAAGAACTTTATATTGCAGAGAATAAAAGTACAGTTACATTTCATTTATATGACGCTATTTTTTCAATAAATATGAACAAGCACGCAAACATAAGCAAATTACTTTCAAATAGTTAATGTAGATTACCATTAGTCGGATAAATCTACTATATATTTATTGATATATTTATTCAGATTATTCAGATATTTATTCAATATAATCTGTATTCTATTCATGTATTTTCTTTTCAAATGATCAATGAAAACAAAAAGAAAACCAAAAAAAAAAACAACAAAAAAGCAAGAAACAAAAGAAAAATAGAACAGAAAATTGTTAATATCATTTTTAAGACAAATAGCGTCAAGTGTTGATACGTGAAATATGATAAATATTGCGAGGCAAATTAAGCTCTCTAAATTCATTCGAAATCTTCAAATTATCGCCTAATACATACTACAACAAAGATATATGGACGAGCTTGTTAACGGCATTAATCCAATAATGGTAGGGATAAAGCATCCACCCTTATAAGATAAAAAAAAAAGATTAAATTAAAAGGCGAGACAAGGAGGAGAACTACAAAGAAATGAGTCTCGGTTGTCATGATCGAACGTTCGTGCTCCGATAAAAGGTCGAGATCCCTTATTTCATGCGAACGAACGGTCTCACGTAGCATCCTGTCATTCCACGTAAGCCATCCCTCCTTTATTCCTTCAACCAACACTACCGGATTCCAACACTTTCGGAGGTCGTTTGGTAGGGATTTGGGAACGATAGTGGAGTTAGGGCAGACGCTGCGGCTGTTAGACGATAAAGAACAGGTAGATTAGAAATCTATTGCTCTGTTTGACTATTGGCTTTGGTCATTTCATTCGCAGGTATTAAATTCCAGTCTGGATAAATTGCTCGCTATTTGTAAGGATATCGTGAATCTTCAGTCGGTAAATATTTTGCGGCGATGATTAAGTCACACGATTTATCACTTCTTCAATCTTATTCTATAAATATAGATCATGCATGACCTATTAAGAAAATACTTTTATTTTCCACTATAAAGAAACGATTGTTGTTTTATCTATTCCAATTCTCCAATTTTCCAATATTATTATTAATAAATATTATATTAATAAATATTTTATGGGCCAATATTTAAACGTAGGTAGTTACTGTAAGAATTGAAAAGAAAAAAAAGATATAATTATCAAACAATCCCAAATATTATGTAATAATGAGCTGTAAATATCCAGGTATATAATTGCTTGACCTACAATATAAGTTTTATACAAAAAATTTTTCACAATTTAGTTTTGTAAATTAAATTATCGCATAATTCTGCAAGTAATATTAGAAATTAGAATTTTCTTATGTTAAATTACTAATTTTCCGAATGTTATTTAATCATTGTAATGCTACATTAAAAATTTCACGTATAACGATATTTCATATATATATATATATATATATATATATATATATATGTCCACCAATTTAAATATTTTGATTTATTTCATTTATACAATTACTTTCAATTTTATACAGAATTAAATTATCCCTTACTAATAATTTTCAATTAGATAAAATCAAAAGTTATGATATCATGAAATTACAGTTATTTGATATTTTCACATTAAAATATGCATGTTACTGATATAGAATTAAAATTTATGAATTTAATCTTATTTAATTAAATCAACCAACAATTTAGTTTTATACTGTAAACTGTCGCAATGAAACATTCTTAAATTTAAAGTTCTATATAATTATGTCATTGTTAATAAGCAGACATATTAATTAAACATAAAACATTGCACTAAAATATTGAAATTTACAATAATTTTTATATAACAGATAATATCTCGAATATTATATTATATATATATATATATTTTCTTTCAACTTCACTATTCTCCGATAATTTAAAAATATTAATACTAAATATAAACAAGTATAGATACTATAAGTTCATTATTACAGTTCATTATTTATATTCTTCGGGCGGATATAATACTATTATTATAAAAATAATAATTAACTTCGTTTTTAGTAATATGCTTCAAAATAAACAAAAATGTTTTTGATCTACTCTTATACTCTCACATTTGTTAATAATTAAGTAATTATGACTATGATTACAATCAATATTAAAACGATAAATTACTTTACTTCATTCGTTAAAGGATATATGCAACCATAGCTAATAATTAAAATGATTGTTAGTGAAATTAGTGGTTGTAGTTTGATTTTCAGCTATAAATGACATTTCCATGAGTAATTAAATCTGCCTTGTTGCCTAGTTCGAGATTGAAGAGAGGAGGCGTCTCCACTACCCATTCAAAATTAGTGTCAGAGTGGTGGCTCGTCAAGTCATCAGATCGTCCCAAAGTGATCGCTTTTGGCACCTCTCTCTCTCTTATTTCCACGTTTATAATTTCTCATTGGCCCTGAATGGGTCGGATAGCATTGCATGGGCTTCCTCGTGGCGGCTTACCACAAGGATTGCCCATGTAATCTCCGGATATTGATTCCCTTCACCTGAAAACACCGAAGGCTACTCTTTTCAAAACATTTTTCAGGAAATTTCGATTATTATGTTGATTTAATAGTGCGATACACTTGCCTCCAGCGAGTTTGACGATAGTTACGAATATTATTATTCACCTCTATTTAAATATATTTACTCTAAGTATTTACTAATGTATGCAACTATGTACAAGGCAAATTTACGATTAACGAATGTTACAATTTGTGTTCTCAAGTCATGCCAAGTTGGTAACTTTAAATATGCCTTGTATGAAATTATAAATTATTATTTTCCATACGATTTGCAACACTAATTTTATACTTTTTTACTTTTTATTCTTTGCTTTAAATCGTTTAAATAGATATTTTTTTTCAAATTATTAACTATTAAGTCAAGAAAATACAGATAAATAATAATAACAATAACAATAATAATAATAATAATAATAATAATAATAATACTAATAGTAATAATAATAATAATAATAATAATACTAATAGTAATACGATCTTTGAGTACCATAGCCTTCGACTTATTTTAACGCCTTTTATAATAAAGAATAAAGAATTCTATAAAATCTTCAAGAGTTGGATAATTTTTTATAACTTAAAGGAAATTCTTTAAGGTGACTTTTATAATAGTACAAAAGATTTTAAATATTTTCTAAATAAAATATTTTAAACATTTTGATCATTTTAATTTAATTATTGTTGTGTTTAATTGAAATTGAAGATAATTTATATCCAAAGCTTGTTAAAGTATTCAAATGAATATATTTAACAATGATGTATATATAGATAGACCCAGTTAATTAAGGTGTCAAGAAAATGACTTCAATGATGCGCGTTCTATGTAAAGCATTGAAGTACCAATAAAGTATGTTATGTAACATAATATATTTTGAACTTTTATATGAACTATTTGTTTCATACTTACGACAGCTTAACAGATAAATGCAAGGATGCAATAAGAAGTGGTTTTTTGGAAAATAATTTTTTATCATAACGTATGAACTGTCGATTTTATCAATACAATTAATTTATATTTTTTGAATTTTCAGTAGATAAAAATTGCAGGACGAATGCTACAGCTTTTGTATTCTCGTTAATAGAATACAGTATTTCTTACAAACAAAATTAATATTCCAACTGCAAAATTATCAATCGATACTATGGTATTTATATAATTTAATATTACAGAGACGGTAAATTTATAGTAATCATTTAATAATTATTTACTAGTGTCTTTGCAAATAAATTTTTGAAAATACTAACTAAACTGAACTGACGTACATTAAAAATTAGTACATTATATTATTATTATAAAGCTTATTATCACATTAAATGCTCTGAAAATTCGACTGCAAATTCCACACTTACTTCGAATTTCACAATTCTATTATACAAAATTTATAGATAACGTTTTGATTCACAAGTTTTTCCTTTTTGAATTGGATATGAATTTTTTTTTTTTTTTTTTTTTTGTATATATAGGTATTGTATAATAGATCCAAAAAGGGTTTACATAGCAACGTATATTTAACTACATTAACGCGACTTTTATTAAAAAATAAATTCAATTAAAATCCATAATTCGTATTCAGTATATATATATATATATATATATATATATATATATATATATATATATATATATATATATTTTATAGTGATTGAGAATTGGTGTGGAAACTGAAAAGAAGAACCGATAGGATTTCATTAATTCAATTGCAATTTCAAGACACCTGGTTAATCTTCGAATGATTTAACGTAAATTTGACTTTTTATTACTGGAAGCTTAAGAATTACTTCATAAATCGAAATTCATAATCTTTAAATCGAATTACATCTATTGTACCATATTATTTAATTTCTTAATTGATATCTCCTACGGTAAATTATGTTAAATAATTTTAGCATATTTAAAACTTATGATCATTCAATAATGATTATTATTACTGTATTTATATTGTTCAATATTTTATTTAATTTTCCAATATCTCTTTAATAATATAACATACGCTTTTAATTCTTTAATAAATTTTGAGTTTAAAGTTAGTAAAATGTTAATAAATGATACATATGTAACAAAATTTGAAACAAATAGAAACAAAGTTCAAATAATATTGTACTGAGCTTGATTCAAGAGTGAAGGACAGCAAAATATTACTATACATTAGTTAGAAAAGTACGAAGGTTATGAGAATAAAAATTATCATGTTTGTAGAAATATTAATGTAAAATATTTGTAAAATCGTTTTTTAGAAAGTGTATAAAAATGTTTATGAAAGCCTATATTTAAAGTGGATTTAATGAACAACTTTTTATATGATATTACTATTATTATTATTACTAATATCTAATTACATTTTCTTAAAAAAATTATTAATTTATATTTAATAGGATTATTTAATAGCTTTTATATTATTTGAAACGTGATAAGTTTTATTTGATTTTGGTCCTAATGTAAATAAAATACTTAGTTAATGGTACAATTAACATAATTTAAATTATATATTCAGTTAATTTCAATTTCTGTTTATAATTTTAAAATTCATTAAGGCATAGTCAATTATAATTCTTATTAAGGGGCTCTAACAATTTTATGCTCAGTCGCATGTTCAGCACGTAATTACTACCTAAATAAGTTAAATTGCCTTGACATTCTAACGAACTATTTAAAATGTGTAATTAATTTGTAAATGTTTTGGATAATATTGATTTCAGATAAAAGTATCTTTTAGTATTGGTTTGTTGATTTCATTATTGCGTAAGGATATTTGAGAAGCTTTCCAATTTACTACTTACATGAAATTTTAAATACGATTAGTTTGAAATATAACGAAATATTGTATTTAAATTTTTTTTCCACTCAATTTGAATTGATTGTGAAAACCTACTGCTTTCGACGAGAATGAATTTTCCGTAAATCTGGCTTAAAACAAAGCAACGACGTTTGTAGCAATTTATACAATTACGCGAAAAAGTATTTAATCGTAAGACGACATAAAGAAAATAGCTTTAATTTTTGAAGATATGTTATTTGCCAATTTTTCCACAGAAAAATCGAGATGTAACTTCAAATGCTGTGTAATAGAAAATATTGTTTAAAAAACTTGTTTCATACATCCGTAAATAAAATGTTTCATTAACATTGATATCTTCGAGCATTTCTTTATTTGGCACAATTAAAATCTCCTTTATGCATAAGCGAAGGCAATATTGATGTATGATTTTTCTATTTATAGTTCGGTATGAATACAGAAGGTGGAACGCGACAAGGGAGAAGATGACGTTGCGCAGGCGTGTCCTGGCCGGACTCCGCCGAACGATTCTAGCAGCCGGTGTTCTGGTCCTTCTGATTTTAGCCCTATCGAGTCAAGATCGCTCGAGCACCGGTAGTGGCAATGGGCTCCGGCAGCCCATCGCCTCCGAGGTAAGGATTATCGATCTTTGGATGCACTTTGATAGTCTTTATTTGATAATTGTTCGGTCGACTCGTACATAAATAAATAAGCGCTTTTCGCGTGGACATGATTTATGGGACTTAGTATCGCACTATAGTTACAAATTTATGGAAATAATTGTAGTGCTTTCTTTTACCTGCTGATAAATTACGTATACAGTTAGAATCCGAAAGCTGAGATTTATTAGTAGACAATTTGGGCTTGAACGCAAAGCTCGTGATTATGGAAGAAAGTTTACTTGATAATCGAATTTTATTTCAAATTTGTTCAAATTAGGATTAAATTAGGATTAAAATTATGATCAACTGATAAAATTTATTTATTGGCCATTGAAATAATTAATTTTTAAATTAATAACATCCTTTTGTTCTTATTCAGAATTTTACGATATTAACGTTTCAAATAATCATTACATATACATTCTAAGAGAAGTATGACAATAGAGGAACATCGAGGCAAACAAATCTGTTGTAATATTTGATTTTTTATTTTGCGATAAATACACAAAATACAGATAATCCATTCGTTTACAATTAAAATTAAAAATAGAATGATAATCAATTAATGCGTGCTTTTATTCTATAAAAATTATTAGAATTCTACAAGTATTTAAAAGTAGTCTCGTGATCATAGCTACATTATCCATTGTTAGCCTTGCAAATTCGTTCTGCTATTTGAATAATAACAATCTATTATATGAATAAATTTTTTATATAAAAAAATAAACAATAAACCTATTTTTAAATAATAATACTATATTATTTCTTAAATGTTAAAATATAGGATTCTTAGATACAGTTATTATTCGATTAACGCAATTACATCAATTATACAAAGTAGCAAAAAAAATAATTCGTGGTTAAATTGAGAATAACTTGGTCTATGAACTATCTAATTTTTTAAGTGAAATTGAAAAAATCGTGGCAAATTACTTTATATACCTAAATATTATTAGACATTTTAAATAAAAATAACAATCATATTATCATGATCTCATAATAAAATATCTTAAATCATTTTATAATATTTTCGAAATATTTGAGATATCAAGATAGCCTTTATAAATGTATAATATGAATTTTATGATAATAGTATTAAGAATAGTTAAATGGTGGTCTCATTCAAAATAATAAATTTAGTTGAAATACAACGTAAGTACACACACACACACACACACACACACACACACACACACACACACCATATAAATTGGCATTAATTTTTTTATTATACGCATTCAGATATAGACCTAAATATTTTTTTATTAAACATGCAGAAACTTAGATATGTATATATTATTTAATGACTATATTTGATATTTATATTTCGAAAAAAAACTTAGTATTATAAAAATTTGTCTCAAGTATTGAATAGATAACAATATTTATTAAATATTTAAAATAAAGAATGATGAAAAATTATATTATAAGTTATTCAATGTTTCGTCAACTTATACATAAACAGAAATATGCAAACTTTTCATTAAATTAATAAGTTTAATTTTGTTATTAATCAAGATATTCAAACTAATTTTAATACTATTTTAATAACATTTTAAATTAAATATTCAATAGTCTCGAAACGTATTTTCAAGGTTTTAATTTATCCTCAAGATATCCTAATATATATATATATATATATATATTGATTTTAATTCATTAATGTTTATTACTGTTTTTATCTTATGGTGTGTTTATTACGTCGCAATTATGTGACATTTCAATCAATAATAATTTAGTACAAACACTTCAATATTTTATTATAATAATGTCCAATTCAATAATAAAACAGCATTATGATATAAGAGTATGACTCTGAATGCTCACCTATTTCACTAAATTTATTTCTTATAAAAATAATGTAGTAATAGTACCCAAAAATGACCAATAAAAAAATAATAGAATTAAATATTGAGATATTAATATAAAATGAATTTTATTTATTAAGTATTCTTTAATGTTTGTATAAAAATATGTCGAATGATGATTCACAGTTAAGACATTTATTCTATCTCAATTTAATTTAATTTAATTTAAGTTAAGGACAGATTAAGTTAAGGACATTATTACTGTTGATTAGAAGACATTATTACTGTACACCGATTATTGTTCAATAATTATGTTAAATTTCAACAAAACTGTAAGACTCGATAAGTTGTTTTCTTTCAATTAGTCATAATTTCAATTTTTTTTTATATCTAATATAAAAATATATCTAATCATCGTGGCTTATGTATAAACTGATTTCCTGCGAACATGTAAAATTGTGTTGAAACTTATGAAGTGCTATAACGAAAGCTTCGAGAAAAATATTTTCAAAACTTTTTCTGGTACTAGCTTCTTTGCTTCTACCTTTATTTGCAAACTGTGCTTCTATCTCCCTTCCCTAATCCGATTTCTTAAATCTATTCGAAAAGTATATTAGAAATTGACATATATGTCTGATGCCTACTCGCACGAAGTAAATAAAGTTAAATACTATACTCGGTTTATTTTACATAATAAGTCGAGCCAAAAAGAGATTCATGTATTAAAAATAGCATGGGAAAACATAAAAGGGAGAAAAGGAAAAAATTTAAAGCTTTGTGGGACAAGAACTTGGTAAATGTCCAGCGCATCTTTCATCAACAATAAAATGGGTCGCGAGGGAAGCTCGAAGAATAGCTGGAATGAGAAAGCAAAATAACTGTCACATATTTTCATTCTTAATTGGAAGTAGACATATGCAGGCGACAAAACCGTTTTATCAAGTAAAACTCTCTTCACACTATTAGGAAATTGACAAAAATATTAAGGTTTTTTCTATGGTAGTAGATGAAGTTAGAAGATATGTAGAACAATCGTTAATGAAAAGTCAAAATATTTTGAAAGTTACTAATGAATTATTTACATGTTTAAATAATCTATATAAAATACGTGCAAATTTTTGACATCTTTTTGAAAAATTTCAATTCCAAATTACCTGCATAATATCATCATTCTTATAATTTATTCACTTTTCAATTTTACATTATTTAATAGGAGCTTTTAAAATTAAATATCTACAAATTAAGATTCTTTTACAAAAATTGTTATAATTATGATTTTAGTAAAATTTTATATGATGAGTAATATGATTAATAAATAAAATTAGAAAAATACCAATACCAAACGATTATTAAACTTATTTTTTAAATAAGTAATATTATCTCGAATTTCTTCGGTCACATATTTCCATAAGAAAAGTGTTATAATCATATAAATAAATTTTAAATATATTAAAAAAAAAAAATACAAATTAAAAAGTGAAAAACATCAATATGAATTTCATACTATCAGCAACTATTAATTCATAGTAAAGAATTTAATAATAATTTTATTTGTAGCAATAATAATTAAATTTATTAAATGTTCAAATTAATTTAACAAGTTTTTAACAACTTGAAAATAATATAATGTAGTGATTTAATGAATGTGCATTAAATTACGCTCAACACTATCTATGTTGTAAAATGTTGTTTTACGGCATAGATTATTTTAAATCCACATTTATATTTTCAAGGGTTATAAAAATTATTTTGTTTTGAGCATGAATTCATTAAATTAGTACTGATTAAAAAGTTGTTGAATTTTTTTTGTTTTATATTTTATGAGAGTCAAGAATATAAATTTTACAAAATGCAGTAATAGCATAAAAAAGGAATTTTCTATTTAAAGATTGTTGATATTGTTTTCAAAATGCAAATTTAATGTGCTTTAAAAATTAACTTAACGTCCACTTAATTGTAATGAGGTATAAAAAATATAGATACTGATGAAAGAATATTGCAGATATCAGAAAGCATCTAAATTAATAATTTTTATGAATTTTTATACAAGAAAAAAATTATATATATATATAAAGAGAGAATATAATGTAAAGTTTTTAATAATCGTGCTTATTATCATATTTAGTACCTTTACAAACTGAACCATAACAAACTGAAATCATTTGTCAGTTCATAAATTATTTCCTTTATTTTTTTTTTATAAATATCCGAAATATATAAAACTCACATAAAAAATCGATAATGTAAAAAATATAATAATAATTTCTTTTTACTGGACTCAACTCATGCTATAAAACTTTATGATACCCATAAAAAAAAATCAAATTAGATAAAGCAATACAATCTATAATTTAGTAGTGAATAATTATATGATTAAGTATTTTGTATTATTGGTGAGTTGAATATACATATTTAAGAGAAATAAGGGTATAAGAAGCATATAATTCTTATATATAACTAACAAAATTATAGATTTACACCATTACTAGACAATCGGAAAAATATAATTCTTAAGCTTGTAATAATGTATATTTTCAAAATGAGGTGAGAAAATAACGACTTATATACTTATATATGAGGCTCATATCAGATTAAGAGTAACTACGATCAAGTTTTTAAATTTCTATGCTGGGAAATAAAAAAATTATATTTTAAATTTTTATCCATAAATAATTTACAAAAAATTTACAGTATTCTTTTTAAAATATTTAAAATTTTAACAGGAGCTTAAAAACAGTTTCTATTACCCCTTTATAGGATAATTTCAAATAATTTATAATTTCGAAGTCTTAAACCATTTACGTGAATATTTTCTTGAAAAAATACTTCAAAATTTCATATTTTTCAAATAATCAATATTTTCAAACTTTGTCCAAGATGAAATTATTAAAGTTTTAAATATATGGTGTAAGAAAACATTGTTTCTTGTTTATTGATGGAACAATGACGGACAATAAGAAACGATGAATAATTCAATTGAAATTTTTATGAACATCGTCTGCAATAAGTACTCAACTATAATTACGTAGGTAATAATATCAGAATTGTGAATTATTCTTGTATTTTTCATCACAAATATTTAAAATTAAATTATTAGTAAATTAATGTGTAATTTATATAATACTCTTTATTTATATGTTTATAATACCTCAATTAAATATG